CACACATAGATACTCACATACACAGTGATGGAATGAACCTGCAAAGAGTTTCATCTCACTAAATGTAGTTGCCTTGCTTCCTTTTCTGGCTCATGTAATGGCCCCTCTGATCTGGGAGCTGACTCAGGAGCAAACATAAGTGTGCACACAAATCACTCAGGCTGCATCCGTGTGGTTCTGCACTTTAACACGCTCCAGGGAGGTGAGGCAGCTTCCCATCAGGACTGCATTTTAGTTGATGAGGCACTTTTTTCTTAACGTTGCTACAAAGGTAAGGCCCCTCTTCTAGCTAAGCATGTGGGAGAGGGACCAGTAGAGGTAGGATGTTGATGTGCTTTATTTCATAGGATCCGAGATGGCTTGAATTATAAACACAGCCTGACTTCAGAGATACTATTTTTTTAAGATTGATTTATTTATGCACACAAGAACTGGGGTACAGGCCAGAGGTGTGGGGGTGAGAGGATTCACCAGCGACAGAGTGGGGAGCAGACAGGCAGATTGACTGAAATACACTGCTGAGGAGAGCAGCAGATACAGGAGAGGTCTGCTGCGGCATGAGTTCAACCCCAGGTGGAGAACTCATGCCACAGTGGCTGAGAATAGCTTCATAGTGCTGAGATTTAACCACTTGCACCACTAGGGAGCCCCTGATTTCAGAGAATTTAAAATTTTAAACATGTATCTTAAGACCGATGGAGTAAGGCACCTGAAGCATTGATGGAGCCTAATAGTCCAGTGCTTGTGATATCGTTATTTGGAGTTAGTGGATTTGGAATGTGGGGTCCTGGGGTTCACTCTGGGAAAGGTTTTACTAGAGCTCCCAGCAAGTGCCCCAGGGAAGTTTCTCCAAGACACAGAGTCCTTAGTTTAAAGAGTAGGTTTATGGGCCCTCCCTGGTGGCACAACAGGTTAGGATGCAGCACTGCAAGCTAGGTGCAGCTGCTTCAGTGCGAGTTCTATTCCCAGCCCGGGAGGTGACCCACATGGCGCGGCAGACCTCTCCTGACCGCCCACTGTTTCCCTCAGCAGTGTACTTCTTCGATCTGCCTAATCTGGTCCCCACTGTGTCTCTGGTGAATCCTCTCACTGCCCCTGCACCTCTGGCTTTTACCCCAGTTCTGTATGCATAAAGAAATATTTAAAAATAAAATAAAGAGCAGGCTTATTAGGGGAAAGGACAGAGGAATAAAAGACACTTGCGTAGATGCAAGCAGACAGGAAGAGCTGCACCAAAAGGGACTCGTTTGCAGAGAGAGGCCTGAATGGTTGCAAGCAGGCAGCTTTAGTAGAGAGCGGCCTCCTTTAAGGGACGTCAGTGCAGAGGAGTCCCGGCATGGTACAGGTCATTGGCAGGCAGGAGGCTGCTGCCCTGCAGAGGAAGAGAGCGGGTGGGAAGAAGCACCTGCATCGTCACAGGTGGGCAGAGGACTGCTGCCTCAAGCCAGTGCAGAGACTGCCCTGATATAGACAGCTTCCCTTTGGGAGGAGCGCACTCCTTGTGAGCCTAGGTTTGTTGTTGATTTGAATCTGAAAGGGTCAGAAGATGCCCCAGTGGGCTCCATTTCTATATCTTTACCCTCAGGTCTATGCTCTGAGGGTCCTTACAGCAGTTTGATACCTGCTTGGGTCCTGTGCTTTGTAACTTAGGCATTGGCACCTGAGGATCTTGGCTTCTATAGCTGGGTCAATGGCTACACTAATCCCTTCTACCCCCAAGTCCTTGTGCAAGTCAGTCTTGTGATTCCTCCTTTAGGTTTTCTATTCTTTCCTCCATCACTTGGACTCTGGAGTCAGACAGATGTGCCCCTCCCCCCGCCCCCATCCGTTACCTACAGGACTATGAGCAGGGCTCTTAGCTTCTATAACATTGCAGTACATACTCAAGCTCCTGGTGGATGGTATTGACCCCAACTCTATGTCCAATAAAACAAAATCAACAAACTGACCATTTTTATATTTCTTTCAATATATCATTGCTCTCTAAAGTAAAATAACTGGGTATAAAGAACGAAACTGCTGTAAAACTATTAACCTTCATCTTTAGCCCTGTATAGAGCTTTGAACTTTATACTATAAGAATGTATTTGCGTGTCACCTGTATAAACATAAAATATATTTCTCTTTTTTTTTTTAAGATGTATTCATACAGAACTGGGGTACAGGCCAGAGATGCAGAGGGTGAGGGGATTCACCAGAGACAGAGAGGGGAGTAGAACAGGCAGATCAAGGAAGTACACTGCTGAGGGGAGCAGC